ATACCCCTTAGTGATTTTTTATATTCCCTCTTACTATCTACATGGAAACAGCAACAACATTCTTCTAATCATCAGGCACCGATGAAGTCTTCCTACACATATTAAATAAGTCAAACAGCCACTCCATAAACAAAGTGCATCATTTCTACCTGTCACATCATTATGTTCCTACCAATTTCTCCAGTTCTATCATCTACACTTGCAGCTTCACCATGTTTTATATTCTCACAGCATTTATTACTTCTTTTTCATTCATTTTTCTGGAGTCTTACAAAACTCATTTCAATTCCACTTTTTTGACATATCACTATCATTTCTATATAGGTCTCTAGAATGTTCCTTTCAACAAATATTCCTCACTTCAAATTAATCCCAAACTATTTCATCACTTTTATTTTTTTATTCAGTTCCATCTACTACAAGTTTCTTGTTTACCTCTTTTACCTATATCCAAACAGTTTTTTTTTATTTCTATCAAATTCTATCTACATATTTTATTTAATCCTTGCCCTTTTAGACTGTTTTCTTTGCAGTTGTCTCTTTCTCTACATGCACACTATCATTCTCATTTTTGCATGAATTATTCTCCTACATGCATGTTTTTTCTCACCTATAGCTTTTTTTTACTTAATTTCACCAAGACGTTTTCCACACTTCTCAGCATATTCCTAGCAGCTTTAACATTCCAATAGGAGAGAACATCTGTAACTCAGAATTCAGTTCTGGAGTTCTTGGTGTTCTTTGAGATTAGATGTTTGCTTGCAGACATTTCATTATCCAATTACGGTAATCTATCAATGTATCAGTTGTATCAGTGCAACAGTCTTTCTTTCAACCACTTTTCATTCATTCTGAATGCAGAAAAGTCTAACTTCTAATACTTTTCGCTAGAAGTCTTACATTTTCTCTTACTGTAATCATTTCACTTTCCCTCTAGTTTTTCCCTCCCATCATATCTCTTTCTGCCTATCATTTTGGTAGTTCCTACCTGTTCTCCAATTCCCGTATGTCTAATCTGCTCTTGAACTCTAAGGAGCAATGCCAGGTCCTAAGAGGTTCTCATACAATATCACCTCCCCCAACCCTAACCATCCAATCCTCAGTTAACACTCAGCAGTCCCCTGGGCCCATTTGCCAACAAAAAGAGCTTTAAAAACAACTATTTACACACACACTTAAAGACCAGTTTCCATATCTTTTCCACACTATGGCCCATTTTTATTAGGTCCACAGATGGCAAGCTCCAACAGCACTATAGGAAATAAGCCCCTGCTCTCTCTTCTCTAGAGAGGAAACAGTCATTCTCCTACCATCCAATCCAGAAATAAATTATTTTGAATGTCACAATCCACATACAATAGTTTGAGATCCATCCAGCAAACGAATTTTGTAGATGTCATAAAATCTAGATTCTTCCACAACAAGTAATCCAATTGGCTAGAAATAATCTTCTCCCCATTTGACTGTGAGCGAGAGATGTTGATGGTGACTTCTTCTATCAGGACAATTGCAGGGCTCAGGTCAGAATTTGGCTTGTTGTCTGGTCTGATTTTATTCCTGCTTCCCATACTCCACAAAATCAGAGCACTAAAAGCTCTCCCCTTTCAGCCCTCCCAATGTACCAGATCAGCTACAATTTCTATTTAGATTGAGCCATAGAATTGTCACCAGTTCCACACATACCCCACACCATGATTTCTACTTCTGATAGGTGCTTGCCAAAGCTTCTTGCCAGCACCACTATCCAAGCCACAGGCACTTCGGAGTCAGCAATCACCTGGAGTTCCCATCCATCAATACACTGCCAAACTAGCTCTGGAACATAGAAACATAAAAGCATAAGCAATGCCTCCTGGATGAGATCCCTGGTCCATCTAGTCCAGCAGACTGTTCTCATACTAGCCAACCAAGTGTACAAGGAAGCTCATTAGACTCCCAGCAGATAGTCTTTAGAGGCAGTCACATGCCCATCAAGGCTAATTGTGCCATTGATCCCCAGGATTTCCATGAATTGGTCCAACACATTTTTGAAGCCAACCAAGCTGATATCTAGCGTCATATATTATGGCAGTAAATTTCAAAGAACAATTATATGTTGTATATAAAAAAAAGTTTTAGTCTGCCTTGACTAAACTAAATTAGATTCCATTTCATTGGGTGATCTCTGATTCTAGTATTTGGGGGAGGGAAAATAGCTTCCCCTTCTTTACTTTATCAACATCATGCATTGCAATCATGGTCCCTCTTATTTGCCTTCTCTCTAGACTAAAAAGCACTAAATGTCTAGTTTCTGCTTAAGGAAGCTGTTCCAATCCTTGATCATCTTAGTTATCCTCTCTGAACATTCCCTAACTCCACTATATTCTTTTTGGACAATGGCTTATTCCAGTTTCTCAATTAATTGACATTGTTGCTTTGGGGATACTACTCAGTGTTCCAGCCATTAATTCAGCCACATTCTGGCCCTTACACCTATTGTAGTCAACAAATCTGACTTAAGCCTTTTCTCTGTCCCCCAAAAAGCAAACTACTTTTTCTAAAGTCATATTGGGAGGGGAAAAAAGTCAACTGCCAGAACTTTCATTATGATGACATATATAGATGTATACCACCAATTATAATGACATATATATGTCAGTTTTTCCATATCAACAATTAATCATGCTTTCCTTTGCCATAGATACACCTGAATAGACCTAGTCTTAACCCAAATATTTAAAATAAAACTTTATCCAGGCATATAAATTCTGTTCTTTTGGGGTTGTCCATGGCAAAACCACTTTTTCTTGCTCGCTTACCTCATTTTCACTCATCTATCCATGTCACTTTGACTTAACAGAGTAACATGATCTTTGGATCATATGTATAAATTTTGCAACATTTTCCAAAAATCACCCTTGGTCCTTTATTATAAGCAAATTGGAGCATTAACACAAAAGTATTACCAAACTACAAATTTGTGTTTTCATACAAATCTCGATGAATCCCATTCATACTTTCTAACATACATTGCAGCCCGTTAATTTGTAATTACATCGAGACTTTACTTCTATACATTCATCATCTATATTCCAGAAGAGGAGACCACATTCATTTAGATTCTATTAAATTGTTCTCTTTTAGTTTCAGGAGTACATAATGTATCTATTTTTCTTCCCTTTTTCTCTTCCATTACTTAATGGCCTTTACTGAATCTTCCTTGTGAATTCCAACTCTTTTTGCTTTTAGTAAGAAAAATGCTGTTATGTAAATATGTTTCACTTTCTTCTCAGTTCCTTCTGCACTGTCTTCTCTGATGATGATCATCATCATCATCCAATTTCCAAATTTTAATAAAATTATTTATATTCACTGATGTCTTCAGGAAGTTTAATTGGAAAAGCTACCCATTTGACACTATTATTAATAATTATTAGATAATGGATCTTTTAGAGTGGGAATGAGCATAATAGCATAATGAATAGTAGCTCTATAAAATGTTAACATTTTACAAACAGTGAATGAAATTCAATTAATGAAAGGTTAATGATAATTCCTAAACCAATGTCAGAGAAGGAAACTGATAGTTCTAATCTACAACTCCACTTGCCTTGGAAAAGTTCCATTAACTTTAACAGGACTACTTTGGAATTAATAAATTAAATTTATAATGCAAGATTCTATTTTTCTGCCTGCTTCACAAGCAAATAGTTTCCTAGGGATGAGACATACCAACAATTGCATCTCTCCAATTGTATGCATTTATTCGTATTTTTTCTTCATTCCCCTTTTATATTTGGTGGTACAATGTGCTGCAATTACTTATAGTTTTGCATCATATTTCAGCACATATTTCAGCAATGTGATATGGTACTTGGGTATTAAATGTTGTCATCAAATGAGACTGTCAAAGTATGCCTTCTCTTTTGTGGCCCACACTCGGTAACGGCATCTCCCCAGAGATAAGAACAGCACCTGTTTCCTCAGGTTCTGGAAAATAGTTAAAACCTGGCTTTATTTTCAGGTCTGGAGTCGACGTATTACTGTGTCATTGTACTTGTAGGAGGGAATTTTTTACTTGATTTGCATTAGTTGATCATTTTAAACTGGACTGTTTGGTTTGATGTTTATCTGCTTTTATGTATTTTCAGATTTTGTATCACACCCAGAGCTGGGCGGCTAATAAATTTGAACAAATAAATGTGCAACCAATAGACAGGCTGCCAATTATGATTTCAGTATAGATTTTGTTATTTATTATTATTTTATTCTAGAACTTTTAACTAGATACTTTCTGAGCATTTTTAATTGTGCTGGCCTTTGAGTGTAATAAAATATTAGATTAGATTTGATTTGAATAAATAAATAATAGATTAAGAATGAGGTAATTCTAAGTCAAGTCCACCAATTCAGCCATGGAAACTCTTTGGACAAGTCATGTGTTCTCACCCAAACATAATTCACAGGGTTAGTCTTCTGAGGATAAAATAAAGGCAGATCCCCTGTAAGGTAGTTTTAGTGCTTCGGAAAGAGAAGATAAATGACTCTGGAGGAGGAGGGGGGTCAATCCTCTGTAAATAATGTTGTGTTTAATGGAGACTCCCCAATCTACTGGACCTCTACTTATTGCCGGTTGAGGATGGTGGCATTTGAACAGGGAATTCTTGTGAGAATGACTTTAGGCTGATTTTAAAGGGCCACATATTGTAGACCTGAAGTTATGCTGAGATTACTTTTTCATATGTCTCACCCTTTTCCACAGCATTAAAAAATGTGAGATACTACTTTTGGGGAAGGGCTATGATTTAGATCACGCTCCAGTAGCAATACATGAAAGGCAGATTGTGTGCTGAAATCAAAAGGGAAGAACCCTCTTATTAACCCAGGGGTTCTCAACCTTGGCAACTTTAAGACTTGTGGACTGTAACCTCACAATCATCTCACAGTCCTGCAGAGTTCCTTAAATTACAAAGTGTCACATGATAGGAAGAGTCCAAAGTTCATAGGGAGACTGAGGAGACAGAGTAGAATCAGGAGGCTGCAAAATGAAGGCGTTCCTTTCCTCCTTGGTTTTTCTACAGGTTGTTGGTAAGTAAAGACAATACTATCTAAAGTTGGGGTTTGCAGGTCAAATCATTTTCTATGTAGCAACATTTTCTATGTATTGTTCAAAAGAGCCAAGAATGTGATCATTTGTGATTTATTTATAATTCAGCCAGAAAAGGGTAATTTCCATGTAAATAGTTTTGGGGTGATTTGCGGAGCCAACATACTCAGAGAAATTCTGCAGCTTGGATTTTCCATTCCTTTCCTTCTATCTAAGCTTCTCCCTCCATCCTGCACCCCTATGTGTAAAGCCTGAAGCTACTACTGTGAGATAACTTCTGTTAAATATGCATTGCTATTTAACATTCAAAGACCAAGCTCCCTGAATGCAAGAACTGATTAAAGCACAAGTCACAATTTATTTATAGAAATTAAATACAGCAACAGTACCATAGCTGTTGAGAAGTGAAAATATTTTATTGCAATTTGCAACATTTTATTATATAAAATACCACAGTAATTACATTAGAAGATAGAGATTGAACGTTTCTCTGGCATTATAATGCCAGACTATGCAGTTGATTTCAAAACTGTGATCTAATGCTTAATGTAATCCCATCAAGTTTTACAACAACATTGTAAAGTAAACTGGTATTGTAATTTTTAAATTACAAATAATTGAGATGAAAAGAAAAATGGTTTGCATAAATTGAGATTTTGGTTTCCCCACTGTATATCAATTCCCACAATTATATCTGTGAAGTTTTGCAAATTTGTACTTTGCTTGCATATTAATTGTAAAATATTAGAAAAGAAACAAAATGTAACAGACACTTTTCCAAGAGTTATTTAAACAAATGCTGAATGAAAAGTCTTCATCATGGTTCAGTCAAAGCTGGGAATAAACAACATGGCAACTGCTTTAGAAAGAAGGTTGCAGTTTATTGAACAGGAGAGCCAGACAGGAAGATGGCTCTGGAAGAAAAAGAGAGCAAACACATGTAGGGAGTGGGTTTTTACACCCTCTGGCGCCTTTTGTTTGGAGTTGTTCCTGTGGCATGAACTTTGAGTGTGCCCTTTGGTATCTATGGGTTAATCCTATTATGTCCTGTCTTAGAGTTTGGGTGGGGTATGTAGATTTTAGGTGTCTTTGTCTTGTTAATCTTCTAGCTTCAATCTTCCTGAATTGTTTACACCTGTATTTCTACAGAGCTGGTTTTTGCTTGGGGAGGGAGACTTAGGGCTATTAAGAAAACTGGGCATGCTTTTCTGCCTCTTTAAGATCCTTTGAGGAAATATATTTTTCTCCCTTTTAATATTTCCTTCTTTGGGTGGCTGACTTCCCACACAAATGTGTAAAATTTTAATTTGTGATAATCATTGTCATAGTATTTTATTTTGTTTATTCCATGAGTATGGCTATACTATTTGCCTTACTGTACTATTTGCCTTACTGTAATTTTCTATTTGACAAGGAGATCAACACTTTTAATTGCAGATAGCAATTGCAATTTTAATAGCCTGGATGATTTTTTTTTAAATTAAAAAAAAGCAAACCCAATCTCCACAAGAAACATAGATGACAACTGTTGTGTCCCGAGCCTGCAAATGCAGGCTCGGGACATTGCAAGGTTCCCGGGCAATTGCAAAAGCTGCCCGGGACCAGACTGAGTGGCGCCGACCAAGCGCGCATGTGCATGGCGCGAAAAGTGCCTAGTGATGTTGCCATCTTGTCCGGGGAGTTGGGACATATAAAAGGAGGCCTGCGTGCCTTGCTCGTTGTTGTTGGAGTTTGAACTAAGCATAATAAAGAGCTGTTCCAGAGACATGTGTATTCTTCATTTGTCACCGCTCCCAGGACTTAACACTGGCGATGAGGATGGGATGCTTAACAAGGAAAGCTAGAAGGAAGCTTTAAGACTTACCCAAAAGAAGTCTTGGAAGGGAAAACGGCGTCAAATTTAGCAGCTATCCTGCCAGTACAGCGTCGCTGGAGGGTGAGTTTGGCTGAGAGACCCTTTCCCTGTAGAAGTGAATGGTGAAGAACGAACTACAATGGCGAAAATCGGCCGCTTGTCAGAATTCGACGTAGCACATCCGGAATGATGGGAATCATATGTTGCAAGAGTAGAGAACTATTTTAGGGTTAACCAAGTTCGTGAAGATGGGCTGAAGGCTGCCACATTGTTGTGTGTATGTGACCAAGAGACTTTTGAAATTGCTGAAAACCTCGTGGCTCCTGCATCGCTGGAAGATGTAATGTACACAGACTTAAAAAAAACTTCTAAAGGAACATTTTCAGCCCAAGCTATCCATCATTGCATGGAGGCACACGTTTGAAGAAAGGGATCAGAGGGCAGGAGAATCTGCTAAGGACTTTATCGCAGCTTTGAGGCGAGCAGCCAGACCGTGTGAATGACAGTGAGAACAATTAATCAGTGGAACAGCTTGCCTCCAGAAGCAGTAAATGCTCCAACACTGGAAGTTTTTAAGAAGAGACTGGACAGCCATTTGTCCGAAATGGTGTAGGGTTTCCTGCCCGAGTAGGGGGTTGGACTAGATGACCTCCAAGGTCCCTTCCAATTTATTATTATTATTATTATTATTATTATTATTATTATTATTATTATTAAGATTTAGAGGAAAGGCTGCATGATCATTTTGTGTGTGGACTGAGAAATATAGACTTACAGCAAAGAATCTTCGCGAAAGAAGACATTTCATTCCAGGATGCTCTGCGAGAAGTTACAGCAGAGGAAGCAGCAGGTGGAGCAGTAAAAAACATGTGACCCACCAGAAGTTCTCCAGAGACTGTTGCTGTCCACCAGGAGAACGTGCAAGAAGATTCGGAAGAGGTTCCTGAAGATGAGGTGAATCAACTCTACCAGGCAGCCGGAAGGAGACAGAGGGATTGCACAGAAAAGGCTTCAATAACTCCACAATGCTTCGGATGCGGAGGACGCCACAGAAGAGCAGACTGCCGGTTCCGGTTTGCCGTTTGCAGGGCCTGTGGAAGGCAAGGCCACATTGCAGCCGTATGTCTGAGTCGTCAGAAGATACAACCTAAAGAAGAATTGCATCTGAAAGGTACCCAGCCAAAATAGGGTGGGTTTCTGTGCAACACTCAGAAATATTCTAAGGACAGGCACACATAAACCCCTAAAAAAGAAGTTGTCTCTTAAACTAAAGTTGCAAGGGGTTCCCTTATCCATGGAATTGGACACTGGTTCCGCCCTCTCCATAATTTCTCTCAACACATTCAGAAAGATTTGCAGCAGCACTGGCCTTCAAGTGAAACTCAGGCCATCCACTGTGATACTTCCAGACTTTCAGAATTCTGAGGTGTGTGTTAAGGGGGAGGCCATCCTTAAGGTACAGTACAAGGATTTTGAGGGTCCTTTAGATGTGTTGGTTGTTGGGGGTGAACGTGCGAGTCTTATTGGACTCGATTGGTTTGAGGCTCTGGGAATTCAGGTCACTGGGCTGCATCATTTGCAAATGTCTAGTCTTGCAGAAGTCTGCAGGGAATTTGCAGATGTGTTTAGCTCTGAGCTTGGAACCTACAAGGACCTCCAGTTTCAGTACGATTAGATCCATCCATAGCACCCATTAGGGTCAAGCCTAGGAGAGTTCTGTTTGCACTTAAAAACAAGATTGATGCTGAATTGGACAAATTGCTCCAGCAGGGTATTCTAGAGCCTGTAGATTCGAGTCCTTGGGAAACCCCCATAGTAATGCCTTTAAAGGCTAATGGGGACATTCATATTTGTGCGGACTACAAGTGCACACTAAACAAGGCACTACAGCAACACGCTTATCCAGTACCTGTTGTAAGTCACATTCTGGCTTCCCTAAAGGGGGGGTGGATTTTTGCGAAGCTTGACCTGGCACAGGCCTATCAACAGTTGCCTGTTGATGAGGCAGCTGCTGAGGCTCAGACAATTGTGACTCATAGAGGAGCTTTTAAAGTGAAAAGATTGCAATGGCATTTTCCAGAATATTATGGAGAACACACTGAGGAGTATTGCAGGAGTCTGGCCATATTTTGATGATGTCCTCATTGCAGGAGAATCACCTCAAAACTTGGTTGAGAGATTAAGGGCTGTCTTGCTTCATTTTAGGGAAGCAGGTCTCAAGTTAAAAAAGGACAAGTGTAAGAAATGGAATCAATTCTACTGCTTTTTTGGGATTCAGGATAGATGCTCAAGGTATCCACCCTTCTGAAGCTAAATTAAAGGCCATTCAGCAGGCCCCAAGCCCTAAGTCTAAAGGGGAACTACAAGCCTTTTTGGGGCTACTAAACTTTTACCATGCCTTTCTGCCTAACAAAGCTGCTATAGCTGAGCCCTTGCACAGGCTCTTAGACAAACAAGCCTGTTGGTAGTGGACTAAGGTCCATGAAAAAAGTTTCAATGAGGTTAAGGCCTTGCTTACTTCTAATGCTGTATTGGCTTACTTCAATGAGCAGTTGCCTGTTTGCATTGCCTGTGATGCTTCTCTATATGAAGTGGGGGCAGTTCTTAGCCATCTGTTGGCTGATGGGACACAGGTCCCTGTAGCATATTATTCCAGAACCTTGTCTTCTGCTGAGTGGAACTACGCTCAGATTGACAGGGAGGCGCTGGCCATTGTGGCTGGCATTAAGAAGTTTCATGATTTCATACATGGCCACCATTTCACAGTCTACACTGACCATACACCTCTGCTAGGGTTGTTCACCACAACCAAACAGACCCCACATATTCTTTCTCCTCATATGCTGCGTTGGTCCATTTTCCTGTCAGCATATGACTACTCTTTAATTCACAAGCCTGGAAAGGAAATGGGTCATGCTGATACTCTGAGTAGATTACCCCTTCCAACACTGGAGCCTGATCCTGCTCCAGCCATTAATATTCTGTCCATTCAAGAGCTGCCTGAGTCTCCCCTCAATGCAAGGGATGTGGCTGCAGAAACTGCCACTGACCACACGTTCACACACGTTCTATCATGGGTGTTGTCAGGATGGCCTGACAGATGCCCTGATACTGAGATTCAGAGTT